GCCCATGGAGACTCTTCTCAGTGGGTTATGTGTTAACACTGTCCAGAAATGATTGACAAGAATGTGAATACTGAGCTTTGACATTTTAGTGATATGCACAAAACTGACAATTACAAATTTTCATTTCCTTAATTTTTATTTCAAAATTTAATGAAAATTAGACTTTTTTTTTGGAAATCCTACAAATAATGTTGAGGAACTTAAAACATAAGTTTCAATGGAACATGGATTATAAAGTCAAACAGAAAGCATAACATTATTAAGGTACAGTTTGCGACTGTTTCTGACGGGAACGGAATTGACAGTATGTGCTTATTTCAGAATATAAAAATAAAAGTACAGAAAAAATTGGGCAAGAAAGTCTGGTGGTGAAAAGGAAAAACAAACAATCAACTCACAGAAATTAAGGTGAAAACAACAAGAGTTATGCCTGTGCTGACAGTTGCATACTGACTGTTCTTCTCAGATATTCCAGCAGATATAAATAACAATGTAGAATAATATAACACCTAAAAAAAAATAACATTTTTAGTCTTTATAATTTCTCTCTATTACAGTCAACCTGTGTATAGTGACTACCTGAAGGACTTCATTATATACAGATCTTTATTAAAAGTATTGATTATTTTTTTTTAAGGATTCTGAACTCAAACATTTGACATAATATTTGTCAAGAAAATAAATAATGGAAATGTTGCAACAAAAACACATTTATTAAAATAAAATAAGTTTGAAATTAAAATATTAAAAATTATTATTTTGGTCTCTATATAAAAAAAGACGAATCTGCAAAAATATTGCTGAAAATGTGGTCATATAAGACAGGTGGGTCTTTATACAGTTTGCTTATAATTTATGTCTTAATGCTACAATTAAAAAACATTCAGAAATTCTCGAAATCCAGCAAGAGCAATTGGGTTACTGTAATGTTCAAAATTCTGAAATAAATATATAATATATATATATCAGCGAACTAAGTTTTCCACAAAACAATCATGAAAACGGATCAAAAATGTGTTTTCTATGACAGAAACATACCATCATATCTCAAAATGTTAATCGGTGACCTATGCTAAAAATATGATATGTAGTATTATGAGGGCTAAGGCTGTCACGAAAAATTGGATTTTGAATATTAAGTTATCTATGAAATAACGTGTTTACAAGAAATCCTATGGAAAATGTAAAAAGGCTGCTTTTTGAATTGTTTTGCAAATGATTTCTTGGAAACTCATATTTCTTTCTCCATAAAAAATGTGAAATATGAATAAAAATTTTTGAATTATTTACTTTGATCATTTTTTTTTTATGTTTTAATGGTAGCAAAGTACCATACCGGTAATTGGGATTGCCTAAAGTCGTTATTATAGACAGGTGGTCATTATATGGTCGTGGTTATTTGACTGTAAATATTATTAGACTCTGTATTCAAGAATAGATTTTACTTCTCATCATAACACGTGTCAGTTTGAAACATTATCTTTTTTTCGCAATTTTGTGTACTGGTGAAGTGCACCACATATGGTAGAATGGGGGAAATTTTTCGTTTTCTGTTTCAGAGAATGTTTTGTTGCCCAAAATCAGCTTTCAATTGATGTATTTGAAAACATCAGTACTAAAATGTTGAGAATTGAACTTATATCTTGTTGTTGAATTAAATATTCTTAATCAAAACATTAAAAACAAACATTTTTCAATTTTGCTGAAAATTTTTAATTATACACAAGTTTTGCTGCATTTGCATTATTTTAATGAGAACACATTCATGTCTGTTGACCTTTGACCTACCACATTTATCCCACTGAACTGTTGAGATATTTGTAAGACAACGCTGATTACTAAAGGTCTCCTCAAAGACTCTATTTTGAATAAACCAATAACGCTCGTCTTTTCTTCTTTTTTTTCTTTTTCATATTCTTCTTTCATCTCCTTCATGTCTGACATGACGTATAAAGTACCTCTAAGTCTCTGTAAAGCTGATGAAAACACAAATAGATAATTACTTTCAATTAGACTGATATTG